ATTCGCTCAAGACTTTCATAGCATGAATCCCACATAAACTGTATCCCCATTCTCTGATGAGGTTTTAGTTTGTCAGCTAACTTCGAATTCACTTCAATCAATGGTTCTCCTGTTTTCTCATCCACATCAAGAGCAAAAGGGACTGTTTCCTACAAAAATTATGATGAATCTTTTCTGATGACATAGTTTCACATAAATTTTGAAATGAAATAGTGAAGTTAATAAAACTTTAAAAATAGTGAATAACATTCTATGCTCAGCAACTACAGTACACATTCAAGAACAATGAAAAAATCATCATAAGCTGGTCTTTCAACACATACACATTTCATCATGTTGTTCCCACACTACTCAACATTCGCTATATATATATACTATATACATATTCCCTAGACCCCTCGCCAACTGAATACCATCTTTTGAAGCACTTTAATAAATTTCTCACTGATAAAAAAGTGGCAAAAATGCACCGATTCAAATGCCGCTTATTTCGATTAAATTGAATAAGTATTCACTAAGATATAACAGTTTAAAGTAGACTCATATCATAGATTCTATACAACTGTTAATCTTTTAATCTTTTGTGTTTCCTTCTTATATTGAATGTCCTTATATAATTTGTATTGTCCACGTGGAATTGAACTATTATTATTATTGTTATCAAACTAAAAGGTCATGTCCCTAATCCTTTCGATAAACTGTCCCGGATCTTTGATAAATTACCTTGTTTTTCCTATGAGCAGCAGCAGTAGGGTTGTTGAGTATTTGGCCAGCTCATAAGTTGGTGAACCTACCGCATTCACGATAGGTGTAAGGTTATTGAAAGTATTAGGTTATTAAAGACTCGGGACAGTTCATTGAAAAGATTAGAGATATGAAGTTAAGTTTTGGAGACATACTAGTGGGCTTCGACGTGGTCTACTTATACACGATCGTTCCAATCAAGGACACGATACGGCTAGTTGGCAAAGTATTCCCATCATATTCAACTGCCCTCTTCAATCAATGTTCATCATCAACTTATTTCCAGTGGGATGGTGTTTTTTACGAACAAACGAATGGTACCGCAATGAGCAATCTAATAGGTTCGGCGGTGGCGAACTTTTTCATGAAAAATTTCCAAGAACGAGCCTTAGAGCATATTGTTGGCTATGTGATGACACGTTTGTGGTATGGCAAGATGGCGAAGTGACGCTTAACGATTATCTATTATATCTATCACAGGAGATCTATGAAATCATAAAAAAAACAACGAAAAAAAACCTCTGCAGGTGTTGATGATATATGCGGAAAAGCTGTAGGAAAAGTTAATGATTTAATATGTTATCCACTACCACACATAATAAACATGTCGTTTGTTGACGGACATTATCCAAAGGTTTTAAAGATATCAAAATTGGTTCCAATTTATAAAGGGAAAGGATCCAGAGAAGATATGGGCAATTACACGAATGTATGCCTACAGTCCCAATTTGCCAAAGTAATTGACAGCACCTTCAATATACGACTCACTTCTTTTTTGGAAGAAAATAATCTCATTTCAAATTGTCAACACGGGTTTAGACATTGAAAATCCATTGAAACTGCCACTAAAGTATTATGCACACAAATCTATGAATATCTGAATGATAAAAATATTTCTATTGCTCTATTTTTCGATCTGAGTCGCGCTTTTGACACAGTTGATCATATACTATTATAAGATAAGCTCTACAATCTGGGCGTCCGGGGTGTGGCTAATAAGTGGATTGCATCTTACTTAGAAAACAGGACACAGATAGTAATTATTGAATCTGTTTAGTCAAATCATGCAGATGTAACTGTTGGTGTACCACAGGGATCGGTTCTGGGTCCTTTACTCTTTATTGTTTTTATTAGTGATATAACATATTCATGCAGATCCGCATATGCAGATCATTTATGCTGATGATACTACTAATCAGTTAATTGCGGAGAGTAATATAGCAAAATCGGTGGAAATATCAAATATTGCAGCAAATATGTTTTATGAATGGTGTGTCGATAATGGACTATCAGTTAATACAAAAAAGACATTTTTCATGTTATTCCAGCCAAAGAATATTCGTTATGATTATAGTCCATTAATAAGGATGAATCATAAGTCTATAAAAAAAGTTGATCACATTCAATTTCTTGGAATTTATATGGATCATAAGTTTACATGGGAAATTCATATAAACAATTTAGTATCCAAATTTGCTTTGCTTTGCTTTGTTTTGTTATTCGACAACTGCAAGGCACTGTCTCTTTGGATATTCTTAAACTAACATACCATGGACTTGCTAATTCCTTATTAAGCTATGGCCTGATATTCTGGGGTAACTCTGCTCACGTACATAAAGTAGATGTATGGTCAAAGCTCATTATCAGGCGAGCTGTAGATCAATATTTAAAAGACTGTCCATTTTGACCTTGTCTTGTATGTATATATAGCAACATCAAAAAAAAACATAGTCATGTGAGAGGAAATACTCTACATGAGTATACCACTAGCAATGCAAGTGAAATACGTCCACCGTTTTCCCGTCTAGGCCTAGCACAAAAATCTTTCACGTATCTGGGTATCAAGTGTTATAACCAATGTGTGAAATCAATTGGTGAAATAAAAAATTTGGAGTTTTCAAAGCAACATTCCATGACTTTTTAATTAATCATGGGTTTTATTCTGTAGATGAGTTTTTAAATTTTCCTATTGATAATTCTGATATGTAAATCTATTAACCATTCATTTATGTTATGTGTTTGTTCATGTTGTATGTAATTGACTAGTCTGTTAAGTTTTAATACTGTACTGCACTGTGTAAAGCTTCATGGATGAATAAAAATTATCTATCTATCTATCTAAACTCTTACAACTCAAAAAGCCATTTTACAATGGAACGAAAAATCCTTTTTGGGTGTTCTTGTGCACAGACGTGAAGATGATACATTGGGCCACAGAATTTACAGAAAACCAATACACACAGACAGGTTCCTGAATAAAAACTCTAACAACCTGCCACAACAAAAGAGAGGGAACGTTGGTTGAGAGGGCACGACCTGAGAATCCTCTTTGGGAGTAACAAAACCGTGAGCTTTCCAGTAATACAGTTATGTGAGATCACACACTGTCATAATGTAATAAAATTTCAATCATGTTTTGTAAAGTTGTTATTTTTTCAATAAAGTGACGCGTCTTGATCAAAACCGATTTGTAATAATGTGCAAAGACCATCTAACTTTGAGGAATGCCACGTCGATATTGAAAAAAATGTTAAACTTGCGTCCATTTCCATTGAATAATTTATCATTTCAGTTTCTGATTGCTGTTATATATCCAAAACGAATTAATTCCTTCACGTTCTTCCTTAATAAACAGGGATAACGGATATAATCAAATATATGACAAGCTCCACAATGAGAAATATTTTGCATTGTAGGTCTCTCGTCTAGTAGACAAATACCTGTACACGTGATTAAAAAAATTGACTCGTTGAAGATTTAATTCATGAATTAGGCTCTCAATTAGCTTTTCAATATAGTTCTCATGATCGGTATTGTATTACTACGTGTACTGTTTTATCACCTCAATAATCTTTTCTGATGACATAGTTTCACATAAATTTTGAAATGAAATAGTGAAGTTAATAAAACTCTAAAAATAGTGAATAACATTCTATGCTCAGCAACTACAGTACACATTCAAGAACAATGAAAAAATCATCATAAGCTGGTCTTTCAACACATACACATTTCATCATGTTGTTCTCACACTACTCAACATTCGCCCTATCTTACAGCTGTTCTTCCAGATTTATCATCAATTTTTCAACAACTTTCGAATTTGAATTGGGGTTAAGAACAAAAAGTTGCCATTTTACTTGTTTGAGTTAATTTGGTAACAATCTTCTTTTCTAAGATAGGGTAGAGAAATATCATAAAGCCATTTTATAACAACCAAATTTTTTTTAAGGCTCATACACAATATCAAATTAGTTTTCAGTGTTCTTGATTTATCAAACTTCAAGTTGTAAACTTTGAATTATTTTCCACTTGAATATAGTATTATGTAAAAAAAAAATGTATCGATCTTTTTGAGTGTTTTCACCTTCCACAATCTAAAAAAAATTAAAATTATAAGGTGAAAATACCCATGAAGGTTGAAAAAATAACTCTGATCTCCTTTACATAAAATTTCGATGAATATGTAAAAAAATATTCTGAGGACACATACATTCCAATAAGTTATTTTGCAAGGGTGTGCCGGTCAGTACTATTCGTCTTTTGCTTCTTATTTTATTTAAAGCCAACGATTTCAAGGCATTTTTGTTTTTCAATAAATGGCCTTCATCACATATAACCAAATCTGGACCTACAAAATAAAAAAAATAGAGATTGAAAATTGAAAGAAAACTGACCTTACCTGGATCATTCAGTGCACTCAACATTAAATCTTTAGTCGGCTCGTCAACTTTATTTAGTTCACTTTCATTGGTTAATCTTTGAAAACACTCATAACCAACAATCAATAATGCCTTTTTACGTAACCACCACTTTTTGACTAAATTATATTTATCACTATTGTTTCTATAAATAGTAAAATGAAATAGTGTAAGACTTTTATTTTGTTTTTAATACTTACGACACGGGAAAAACTTTGAAATTTTGTTCTTCTTCAATTCCTTTGAATGCAAACTTCACTTCATTATCCCAGTTATTCACAGTGGAAAGTGGGCAAACAACTAAGACGTGTTTGGTATTTGTTGTCTCGTAGTTGAACAATGTGTTGATAAGAGTAATAACCTGGAAAAAACCTATTTCAGAAAAAGTATCCGCTACCCTTAACGGATTCTAATGAAAATTACTTTTCCCATGTATCATCTGCAAAATACTTTTCGAAGTACACTCTTCAATTCACAATAAAATGTCAACAAATCAGGGTGATTTCGAAATAAACAAAAATACAGATAATCTTGTTCTTTTGGAGATAAAGTATACAGGCTTCAAATGTGGTCAAGTTGTATTTCATGATTTTTTTTTAGAGCATTTGAACTTTTGATTCTTTGTGCAGTTGGATGATTCACGCATATGGGTGTTGAAAGCCTTAACTTCATAATTATTTATTTAAACGGAGATGAACTCCTTGCCAGTAGCAAGGAGTAATTGTGTAGATATATTAACATTGATGAGAATATTACTTTAACTTGGCATTTCAAGCTGTTTGCAGTAATAGTTAGTCCATTTTAGTTCAAGTCCTGATTATGATTATTTTATACTTCGGAGTAGGATAGTGCTGACTGGTTTGATTTGCTGACTCCATTCTCAACATAAGCTACTGGAGACTGATTCAACTGAATCTCCAAATTTTTAGTTTCAAGATGCTATGAGTGCGACGATATTTGGCCGTTTGTATGTGTAGAAAAAGCAAATGATAATGAACCTTTGTCACTGTTAATAGTTTTTATGCCACATTTTGCTATTTCCAGACTTTCAAAAGCATTTATAAAATTTTCTTGGTAATCTCTAAAAATAATTTGGAAACAAAACCTTTAATTTTTCTCCACTATAGAAAGAATCATATACACAAGAACGAACTAGGCTCCAAGCATATCAGGATATGAATTTAGTAATTGCCTGAGGCATTAATTGGTGAGAATGGAAGCTTTGGTGTAAAAGTGAGGCATTATTGGTATGAATGAATATTTTTGTCCTAAACATACATAATCTATTGATTGTTTATAGCAAACTTATTATGACATCACCTACCTGCTTACCACAGGTAATCCTCTCTACACTCGTAACCCTTCCTATAAACTAACCGATATTCGATATATTTATTGTTAGGAAATTATTGATATGATTATTGTGATTTCTGTATTTGAGAATTTGGAATTTAGTGTTTTTTGACTCCTGGGTGAAGTAACTGAGTACTTACCACAAAACTACTTCTTTATTGTGCTGACAGTTCTCAAGAGAACCTGTTATTTTCGTGTGCAAATAACAGAGTAATTGCTTATGGTAAATAACTAATTGAATTACAGCTCGACAAATAACCCAATTCTAGTTTGTACTATGATATATAGTTATGAAAAACGAAGAAAGAAAGGGGTGAAAATCTCATTTATGAGATTGTTTGCCCACAAGAAAAAAAAACAATTAAATCAAAATATTGAAGCTGAGAAACATTAATCTGCATATGTTTGAAGTAGATTGATTGGGGTCTGCTTAATTTCAATTATTACTATGTTCATACCTGAAGGGTTTTTCCTGAACCCATAATCAATTAAAATACAATGAGTTCGCTTATTTAGCATTTCATGTTAACCAAAAAATTTTGAAGCTGAGAAACATGCATCTGCATATGTTTGAACTAGATTGATTGGGGTCCGCTTAATTTCAATTACCTGAAGAGTTTTTCCCAAGCCCATACAATGAGCCAAAACGCAACCAGACCCATCATGCTTTTTCATTCGCTCAAGACTTTCATAGCATGAATCCCACATAAACTGTATCCCCATTCTCTGATGAGGTTTTAGTTTGTCAGCTAACTTCGAATTCACTTCAATCAATGGTTCTCCTGTTTTCTCATCCACATCAAGAGCAAAAGGGACTGTTTCCTACAAAAATTATGATGAAATTTGTCAATTCTTGGTTATGATCCAAACCAGAGAAAATTATGAGATTATAAGTTATTCAAAAATATCTTTTGAAGTGTGAGGGAAACTACTCTTAGATATGATCAAATGAACTTCTTTAAAAAAGGGAAATAACACATAAACAGTTAATCAAAAGATATGCCAAAATTTAAACAATTACAAACCTCATCGTGGGACACGCTATTACTGAGTGACTGTGAAAATGATTCTATAATTTTGTGACGATCCTTCAATCGTTCTATTCTCTCCATTTCTTCTAAGGTTGCTTTCTGGGTAGCTTCAGCCAGTGATTCCTGTGACATAAGTGCCCTAATATTTCTTCTACCCTTTTGACTGGGGCTGGGACCAGCAGTCTCGCCATCCTTTAGTGGTGTTTGAACTTTTTGAGACACACTGAAAAAATACATATCAATGCTTTACTTCCATGCACATTTACAAAATTCTAATATGAGAAATGTTGACAATATCTGTTAATTTCACCATTTTCAAAAACAGTAATCGCTTATTTTGACCATAATCAGAATACGTGGGGAAATTAACTCATTGATAGATACACGACTTTGAAGTAGAATTCGAACACAAACTTTGTACTTAAAATTACAAACTTTGAATAGTGGATACCAGCAAATATTTAGTATAAAATATAGACAGATCAAAAAGGGAAAATAAGACACGATCTGGAATGCACAGAGCGAATAGAAATTCATGTTACAGCTACCTGTTTGGTCAATATACATCCGTCTCAAAGCAGAGATGTTTCCAATCCTGCAATGTATAAGAAACATTAATTCGATGCCTCAACGAAACGAGCAGAAAAATATATGTACATACAAAAAGAAAATTTTCAGGGCTTTCATGAACCTAGAGTGACATAATCTGGAAATGCCACTAAAAATTAAAGAACTGGTTGACTCAAACAGATTGATTCTGTACTAAAATCACAGGAATTGAAAAAGCGAATGAGTATGCAGTCATTTTCTTCTACACAATACATTCCACTCAAAATAAACTATCCTAATGAGTCGTTTGATGATACTGTAGATAAATCGTGAAACACTTCAACTTTAGTTTTTGGGGGATATATTTCTACGTAAAAATCAAACCCTTGCCAGTCTCCCCACAATCCTCATGTCAAAAATTTCTAATGGTAATGATAGTTGAGTTGGTTTTTGCCGTGGTCTTCTTTGGTTATAATCTCCAAACGTTTCGACTGCAGTCATCTTCAGTGGCATGGTCAAAGTACTCTTCTTGACATGTCAACTGGAACTGTTGGGTGACACCTTGTTTGGAAGGTCTTTGAATTCTGACATTTTTGACATTACAACAATAAGCAATACCAGAGAAAACCGAATTGCACTGATTGAACTCGAGTTAGTATCTCGTTCATTATGTATTGTTTTATACAAAATGGCTCATGCATTTCAAATGTGTATTGAAATAGTAGTAAAAACATGGAAAACGATAATCATCCGAGTATGAATGTAAGACATAGAAAATATGTATTGGAATTATTTTAATAAATATATGGAATCAGGTAATGTCACTAACAGACAACATGACTGTTTAGCAACAGTAAATGACGAACCCAGTAAAGTTGCAATTTTGGGCCACGTTACCTATATGGAAAATATTTAGTCTCAGACTAAATTGTCCCAAGTATCTGGAGTTTTACAAACGTTATCATAATTCTTCATCCACACAAATTCAACCCTGATAAAATGAAATTGATTTGTGAATTGAACGAATATGATTTTTGATAGAAGAGTTGCATTTTGGGAGATCCTCTCAGAATATGTCAATTGTAATCTAGCTTTGTTGTACTCCTCGTGTTTCTCAGATGCATGTAGCTTTATCTGAATGAGCGAGCGATTCTCAAAATTTCCGATAATGGAGTAATTCAAACAGCAATATGGCTCGCCATATTCACACCATATATTCCCAAAAACTAAATGTTCGAGCAGGAATTTTGGTTAACCATACTACAGAATCATTGTTTTTGGAAGAAAACCTGAATTGTGAAGGATATTTCAATTTGCTGAATAATCAAGTTATGTCATTAATAACGCCATCCAGTAAGATCCTCTATTGCGAAATGGGGTAATTTTTCAAAAGATGAGACTCCTTCTCACTGTATAGTATCATGCACTAGTTCCTTGATAATACCTTTCCGGGTCGATGGATTGGATGGAGAGGATCTACAGAATGGCCACTCAGTTCCCCTGATTTGACTTACAAACTGGTTGAAATAAAACAATGAGACGCAGTCAACTACAATAGATAATTTATGGAAAGAAATTACCAGGTGCTGTAAGCTCCTAACACCTAATATTTTTTATTATCAGAATAAAAGGGAGTGAAGAGAAGTTCATTTATATGTAAATGTATGTACGTAAATGTTGCTCAATTCAAACATTTGAAATAGTAATTTTTTCTGTATAATTTCACTTTTTAGTTCAAAATTAAATACAAACTTCAAAAAGTGTTTTATTTTTAAATAAATTTTCGTTGTAATATCAAAAATTTTACAGGATTGGATCCCGAATTGAATGACCTTTCAAATGAAGTTCCACTCGACTATTATTCCTATTTGAAGTTTTTAAAATGTGGTATGTTATGGGGAGAGGGTGGCTGACGAGAGGTTGATTTTAAGGTGTAAATGTGTCTCTTAAGAAAAATACAGTTGACGTATTTCACAATTTTTTGCTACCTCGATATCAAATGACTTCATGAAGGTGGCTTGTTTCAATTAGAATGCACTGTATATTGACCTTAAATCATCAACCATGGGGTTAACAAAATCACTTGTACGGAGCTAATCCGTACAAGTGATTTTGACACTGACATGTGTCAGTAATAAACATCAACTTTACTAGGAAAATATACCTAAGAAAGACAGTCTGAGACAAGAACAAAAGACATGTTTCCACAGGACAGGAATCAGCCCAGTCAACACAGTAGACACTGTAGGGTTTGAAATATAGGACAGGGAATAAATCCATTGAAATGGATGCCATGAACAAATAAGGAAACATAATAAGCTATTGAAGTTGCAGTGGTTTTTGGATACTTGGGAGAAATGGACACGTTAAAGGTTCTCAAAAAGTAAAAAAAACTTTAACCACTATCAAATTGATAAACATGCATGCTACTAACAATTCGATGTCACTGTCAGAATCACTACTACTACTATCAGAAGATGGAATATTTCTTTTGATTGGACTGATTAGTGTCTCTTCCAACTTTGATTTGTTTTGTTCACAAACACCTTCCAAGTCACTGTCAGAATCTAAATTATCTGAAGCTACACTGACTTCATTATCACGTTCCAATCTGAAAATAAATAATTTATAAATGCATATGAAAATAATCGTCTGTATTTCTTATCTTACCTCCGACTTTTTCTTTTCATTTTTAAAGATTTCTTACTATTACAACCAGTATCTGAACCTGATGACAATTTTCCCCTCAGTAGAGGATCATTTTTCCATGATTTTTTTTCCAAATCCTCTTTGCTAAGTTTTTCCTAAAAATTCAAATATTTTAGTACAGCAGTTTTAAATTATGTTTGGAAATGATGAAAGTAATTATCTGTATACCATGCATAATAAAATTTAAAAAATTAAAAAAGGTATAATTCCTTTCAAAGTAACTGAACATAGGTATTTAAACAAATAATATTATAACACGAAAATATATGCTTGAGCAAAGAAATTTCAATTATTTCAGAATACTGACAGTTATTCAATAGTCTGTAATACACCTTCAATATACACTTGTTCGTAAAGCATACTTATTATTGTATTGTAAATTTTAAATCTATCAGAATGTCTTAATTCCACTTACCCTCTCATCAACTGCATCTGCATTACTTTCATTATTGTTATCAGATTCATTGTCACCTTTTTTATTGGTGTCCTTTTTATTTTTCTGTTTTTTCTTTGTAGAATCATCAGTCTCAACTTCATTTTCATAACTGCTCAAGTCACTACTACCTTTCAAGTCTCTGCATATTGCATTAGCCAGAAAGGTATCCAGTTTTTGTTCAACTTTTTTGGGAAGAACAGGTGTGCCAGGCCTAGGTCCAAAAATTTCAAGGTCGGAATCAGTATCCGATGAACTAGAAATGGAACTTGAATCCCTTCTTATTTTCTTAACGCCCTTCATCTTTCCATATGGTAGGTTACCATCATTTTTCCTTTTATTCAATGTGTTTAAGTCGCACAACCTGTAATATAAAGAACCTTTCATGAAAATGGAGTATTTATTATTTGCATGACCCTACTAGATCAAAAGCCTTTTGATATTATAACTAACCAGATACTCTTCACCTACCAATCAATGTTATCTTCTAATTTTTTGGTATATTCAACTAAATCCTCTTTGGGTAGTTGTAACTTTTCTATGTCAACGTAGCAGTCGATCATATTATGTTCAGCTAGAACCTGTAACATTTTATTTTTCTGAAAGCTTGTGGTTTTTTCTTCGTTATCGGCTTCTTCCAAACTGATATCACTCAAAAGTAGTAGATCACTAAAAAACTTCATATAAAAATCGAATTATCAAATTTTGTTTGTACTTACTCATCAGTCTCATCTGATTCGCTCAATTCAATTGAACTTCCTTGAACCATCATTTTCAAAATGTCTTCTGCTTCCTTGAGCTCACCAGGGATATTGTTTGTTGTATCAATCTGGCTTAAATTGGCATTTTCTAAGGTTGGTATAGCTACCTCTTTCAACAGTTCAAGAATTTCATCACCGATATCATTTTGATTCTGAACCAAATGCTTTGAATCCTCCAACATATTTTCTTCAATAACTATTTCTAATTTTGGTTTGATGTCATCATCATCTAAGATTATGGTTGCTTGAGAGTCAACTTTTTCTTTATCTGAAATTTTCATATTCTCATTTTAGACAAGAAAAATACTAAACATTAACCGGAAGGATGGCTCAGTACATTAAAAAAGCTCACTTGAAAGTAGAACACACAAAATAAGGTATTAACATCACCTCTATAATCGCTTCTATAAATTGTGAGCATCTATACTTAACTATTAATCAAGCAAGCAAGCGAAAAAGTTCAAGTTTTATATTCATCTACAAATTAATTTTTTAGTCACATTTTTTTCAAGGATGGTGGTTTGGGATGCATTTCATATATCAAAATTATCGATTTTCGCTTTCTGCTTGTCGATCTATATACAAAAAATTGTGGAAAGCAATTAAAAAAATAAACTATTCACAAAAATGTGTAGATTATACACAGAAATTACTTTTAGATACAAACAGAAACAAAAAATACTTTTGAAACAATACTTTCACTTGAAATATGAATTACACGAAAAAAAAAGACTTTTGAAGCAAGTTCTTTCATATCAACATTGAAAGATTCGTTATGGAATTGAATCAAATATCTTCCATAGGAACGCTATAGAATATAATATATATTCCTATGTATTATCTGATTCAATTCCATAACGAATGTTTGGACTACAAAACTACAAACTGGATAGGAAAAAGGAATTTTTGTATAACTCNATCTCGTTAATACTTATTGTATTTATTGCTCATGAATAATTTAATTTTTAACTGTTTAATTTTTATTATTTTTTTGCTTATTTTCATTTTACTGTTTTCATTGATCAATATAATTGCTAGTTTAAGCTATTCATTCCAATTTTTAATTTTATTTGTTCTTTCAGATATTTTAAATCATATTAGACAATGGAAGTCCGAAATTGTAAAATTCACTATGAAACATTGTTAATAACTTTCAAACATTATTTTTGTACATCAAATTTTGAATACAATGGCCTTTTACTTGGTGAAAATCAATTACACTATTTATGATAATAATTATAAATTTTCACAATATATATTTTATTTTCAATATGCGTTTCACTACATAGTAGCATCCTCAGTTGGATTGGCTACCAGTGAAACGCGTATTGAAAATACAATTTATATGGTGAAAATTTATAATTATTATTATCATGAATAATGAATTGTATCACTTAATATTCTTTTATAAAAGGGCTTCTGAAAGGTAAATAGTAGTTCTATGCGAACGACAACAGTAGCTGTATTCTTTATAATCTCGGTGGAAGACACCAGCTACTTGTAAAAGATCACCTGATTTATAACATCTGCTTCATACTCTAGTTAATAATTTGTATTCGTCTTAATGGTTCTTCATATTACATTTGACTCCAACTTTTTCTAGATGATAGATTTGGCAGCTAAATATTCAACACACCTTACAACAATAATACTAGTTAGAAATGGCTAAAAATAGGCCACACGATGGTGAGACAACAACAAATTTCCCCAGGGTCAAAATTATCATTACTTTTGAAACGTGCCAGTAACTTCTGCATGGATTTTCACTCAACTTATTAACAAAGTACATTTCACCAAAAACACAAAGCAACTAACAGCGACTGAGTAATGACATTCAGCTGTTACCTTTTTCCACATCTGACAGAATTTCCTCCATAGTAATTTCTAATAAAGATTCGCATGACTGAACATTATTGTCGATCAATACTGCTTGCGCTGAAATATGATAGAGATATAAAACATAATAGTTTTTTGTCAATAAAGCCAGCATATCTTCAGAGTGCACAGCTTATTAATCTTCTAAATATCATTTGATACATTTGAACATGTAGCTGTGCCACAACTTGAAGTTCATTGTGAGTAACCAGCTTCGCTTTAGAATATTTATTCATTTTCTCAGTATACGAACCTCAAACAAATCACTATTTAAATTACATATCAGCTAAGCTTTTTACCATCCTGTGTCAGTATTAGCTCACCCTTGTAATGTGCTCAAGGATCTGTATCATTTTCAAAACTGTATACTTTAAAAAGATCAAATCAATTTAGCTCTCTATGTTCTAATAAATAGAGGATAGTCCTTAACGAAGGCTGGTTAGATGTATTTAGAAATGAACAGCAATTTGAAATCTGAAAATTTGGCACAAAAAGTAATTCATTTAAAATATTTTCAAGAAGCCATCACTTTCCCGAAGTTGGCAAAAACTTAAGTTCAAAACCATCAGCCTCTATATACAGGGCATTTGTATTTAGAAATCACACGTTGAAAGGTAAGACCTCGTTAGTCCTTAGCACGCACAAGTTTCGATTTCTGAGGGTTGTCGTTCGTAGGGGTGCGATAGCTGGTTAACGGAAAAACATATTTTAACATAACATAATATATTTCATCTAGAACTACCATAAGGGATATCTCCAGAACTAAAGAATATATTTCAAATCTGCAAACGCATTTTTCGTAAGAACAGCCCTTTTAGGGATATTAGGAGATACCAGAAGATGACGAAAATAGTTTTCAAATTCATACAGAAGATTCCTCTCATGAATTGTTCAATATTTTTCAACAAAAATTTTTCCTATAAAATACGACGTTTTCGAAATACAAATGCTTTTAAAGCAACATCAAGTTCTTCTCCCAATCGCAATACTTCTTATGTAAAACTATTAAAAAGATTTTTTTTAAATACATCGTAGTGAAATCCAAAAATTAGTACTACCTGACCCCATCTTTGGGGCCATTGATCTAAGAAAACATTCATTTCCATTTGTCAGTACTCTGGCCAGTTTCGCTCGAATAGTGCAAATCTTTTCAATATGGGTACATTGGCTAAGAAAGTAGTTATTTTTCAAACCTACTTTGTATGTACGTTAGAAGAGATTAATGTTTCAAGATTTCATTTCGAAATATTTATTTTCTTATACGTATCTCTCCTCAATACAGTCTTCAGACTTATTTTGATTTCTATTAAGAGTATTGGTACATGAAATATTTCTTTCCCGCTTTTGGACAACTTCCAATGAAATTGTAATTCATTGCGGGTACTGTACATACTCGATTAGACTGTTAAATTATAAGTCGTAAAATTGACAAAATGTTCAAATAACATTTCATGATTGATATTTTATTTATTCATTGACACTTATTCTATTGAATAAAATAGTATGTATCTCTCCTCAATAGTCTTAAGAATTATTTTGATTTCTGTTAGAGTGTTGGTACATGGGATGTTTTCCCCAGTTAACAAATTATTCTATAGACTAAGGTTTTATACATACAGTCGAGTCACGTTAAAGTCAGTTGAGTCCCAGACACACTACTGTTTGGGTCGAGTCCTTCCTGCAGAGAGGTTATCAGGCTGGTAGATTTTATTTTTACGACCGGTTTCGGGTTTGACCCCATTATCAAGTATAAAACAAGTATATACGACCGAAACCGGTCATTCATTTCATTTAAGTCATTTGTTGATATGTGAATGTGTGTTATGAAAATGTCTCAATTGAATTATATGAATGAATTATTTTCACAATATAAACTTTACTTCCAATACGTGTTTCACTAGAACAGTAGTTTTCTCAATTGGACCATTATTTATGGAAAATGCAAGTGTTATAGGTCAAACATGCTGCACTTATGCCAAGTTATCTCGTTAATACTTCAACTTTGAATAATTAGCCGTTGATTTCCCAGTTTTAGAAAAATACAATGAATAAACTCTCAATATACATTGAAAAGTATACAATATAATAAATTCAGTAGTAAAAAAGATAATCAACTCACCTACATATTTAAAAATGATTAGTGAAAATTACTGCTGGAACAGGATTTTGCTGATATAAATCAGTGAGTTATAATTGATGTTACACAGCTCTGTGATACGATTAAAATCGTGAAAATTGAGTGAACTAACCTACTGTGAGAATCGGTCAAATAGACCGTTTCCTTTTATTTTTCATGGCACTTTTATGAAAATATAAAAATCCCCATTTCATCTAAACTTTTTTAAATAATTGAATATCTCTAGAATTGTTCTTTCAAGTAGTGAGTAATGACATACAAAATGTCCTGAGAATTTCCTGAAGAATCATTAAAAATTGCAAAAATAAATTAAGACTATTATTAAATGTAAATGAAAAAAAAATTAGTACATATTACTCAACTACCAAGATTTCTGCATTACAAATATTCATCTTTTTATTCGAAGTTAAAAAATACATTGAAAAAAAAATCTATTTAAAATCTGTTTTTCCGTCAACCAGCTGTCGTACCCCTACGAACGACAACCCTCAGAAGTCGAAACTTATGAGAGCTAAGGATTAACGAGGTCTTACCTTTTAACGTATGATTCCTAACACGGGTTGGACGATAGCAAGTGAAGACCGATCGTTCAGAGTAGGGCTTGAACCACCGACCAACACGGCAGTCAATTCGAGTGAGTGAACAAAGCACCCACGCCGAACCGCTTGGCTACCGACCGACCGGACTATAATAGAAATAGGACAACCTGAATAAACTTACATCAGAATTGAAAATACAATTCAAAAATTATTACAAAAATACAAATACATTGTTGAAATAAAAATGTTTTTGTCAACTGCAATAGAACCATGGTGAAGGTGTTTTGAAAATATTTCGAATGAATAGAACATTTTCAATTACTTGATATAAATTTTCATATTTCAAATTGTAAATACACTTCGTGTTGTTTTAACAAACTACTAAGAATTGAATTTGAACCATATAAGGAAAGTAACTACTCCCAGCTATTCTACATTTGTCAAATATTTCAATTTGAAACATCTTTTTCGGAAAAAACTACTTCCCTTTTGCTATATGGTGATAGTTATTGAATTATATTCCAGACTTCAAAATTATACAAGTTTTCCTCTAAGATGTCATTCTTATAGATGATGAAAGAAACCACACGGTCTCAGTGTAATCATCCCTACTCTTATGAGGGGCAATAATCTGAAAGTTGATTATAGTAGTTGAATAGAACTGGCCGATACTTGATGAAAATCCATATTAAAAAACTAATCAAGCGTAAACTGCTTGAGGAAGCCATTGTATAGCGAAACAGGTGTCGTGGTCTCTGTAAAACCCCTTTATAGTGAAAATCATACAATAAACTGTATTGACTAGTTTTTTTTTAATTGTAGTAGATCACCCAATCACGTGTTGCACATTACTTTCCCTGGACAATAAGAAGCATATGCAAGAATGGTCTTGCAGAAGAGAAAAAACCAACAAATGTCCGTTGGATATAATTCGATTTTTTCCGTGCTTAGCCTAGGAAGTGGTTGTCGAATTTACAAATCGAATTGTGAAAGATGAAATAATAGTCTAGATCAATTTCATCAATCTTGAACTTTTTTACCCTTAATAAATATCTAGATCACTTTACTTCTATTTCCCTGTTATTTTCAAAAAGTTTTGACAATGAAGTTTGATAAGGCAGTAAAAGTTCTTTAAAGAGATCAAATGTGTAAATATTGAGAAAAGAAAATGGTATCCCTGATTCCTCCGTACCAATAATGATACTAAACATTTACCTTTTTCCTTATTATTTTCCAAAGATTCAACAACTACTTCTGTATTCTGCTGTTGATTATGCCCTAAAAAAATATACCGTAAATAATGAATCATAACATTGGTGAAGACCCGAACAAAAAAAGTTCACTTCAACTATGAAAATCTCACAGTCCACACTGCATATCGGAGACAAGTTTTTGCAGCTATACCGTGCTTTTGTTTCTTGAGTAAATCATGAAAGAAGCAGATAAATATCAAAGAGTAAAAATTTTCGTTAAACAAAAACGGTTTACACACAGCCCTGTAATGTGATACTTTTCTTGATAAGCTTTGGTAATGCGCATACTTGATTGGTGAAAGGTGCATACCGAGAAAAGTTCTGGTGACGAACAAATAAAATTTATATTTAAAATGTTCCACATTGACATTACTTACCAGAGTTGACTCTGGTGATTCGAGATTACCTAATAATGAAAAATGTATATGTATATGCATATAGGAT